CCGGGACCAGCCACCCCCCGCGCCTCCGCTCCCAGCTAGGCCATCATCTGTTTCTCTTCACGGGACGCCCAGGTTACTGACCCTGGGGTCCTCTTCCCTTAAGGTCCCAGTGTGAGGATGAAAGACAGAAACGTGTCTGAAATACACAACTGCAGGAGATCTTACTGACTTCACCACGTCCAGTGACACCGGGAGCAGGTTAATCTCCAGGGACTGTTTTAGAGCCATGTGGAAGCCTTATGTAGTTAACGACAGAAAGGGAAGCTTCTGGGCCGGCCCGTGGCTCACCTGGGAGAGTGCGGTGCTGATAACACCAAGGCCACGGGTTCGGATCCCATATAGGGATGGCCGGTTTGCTCACTGGCTGAGCGTGGTGCTGACAACACCAAGTCAAGGGTTAAGATCCCCTTACCGGTCATCTTTAAAAAAAAAAAAAAAAGAAAGAAAGAAAGGGAAGCTTCTGCTACTTGTCTTTCTGGAGTAGTATTTACTGTGTGACTCCTACAGTGGGCGGCTTCCTCCGGTAAATCATTTGGTTCTCCCAGACCCTTTAAAGACGGACATTGTACTTTAAGGAACATTTTACACACAGGGGAAATCAGGTTCCTTCGGAGGAGCATGAAACACTACAGTTGAGACAAATAAAGGACACATTTTCCTCCTACAGCAACTTGCTGGGAAAACAAAGAGAACCCAGGAAATCTGTCTTGAAGAAAGCATGTTAGATTCCTGAATCATACAGGGAGCTGGGGAAGGAAACAGATTAAACATTTTTAATAAACCGCCTTTCAGAGCACTCTTCCAGTTGTTTGAGTAGTTGGCCCCTATATTGCTAATACTTGATTCCTAAGAGAAACCCTCAGCTCTCGGCCATAGTTGGTAAGTTGGGCCCCTTCTCCCAGAGACAGCGGCAGCCCTCCTCTGAGGGTGAGTCCTTGCCCACCCTGGTGAGAGGTGCCTGCCACCGAAGGGGCAGGAGGCCATTCCTGAGGCTGAAGTTGGAGAGCCTGGAGTTTGGCTGTGTTCAGAATATGGCCAGGGAAGGACAGAGGTGCCACAGGGCACTGTTCTCATCTGCATGGCTGCTCACAGCTCCCCAGGAGGTCGGCCTGCACTGGAAGCACAGCGGAAGCCCAGGTTGTCCGAGGCTGAGTCTGGAGTGTTGCCCATCCTACCGCCAGAGGAGAGAGAGAATGGACATTGGTTGAGACGGGGGCCTGGGGGCCTTACCCACCTTCCCTGCCTGACTCCCCAGGGCCCGCTGTGGCCTGGTGCGCCTGGGGACTGGGGGGCATGGTCTGGAAAGAAGCCTGGTGTGTGACGGCAGGTCCTGAGCATGTGTCACTCCTGGGGGAAGGGACAAGAAGAGGCCTTGGGACAGAGAAGGGGAAGTGAGGGTGGCCCTGAAAGACTGCACTGCAGGGCAGGCAACACGGTGACCAATAACTTATACTGTTAGGAGTTCAGAATGACTCAGCTGATGGCCAGTTAGGTCAGGTGGTTAGAACAGTAACTCCAAGGTTAAGGGTTCGGATCCCTTCATGGGCCAGCCGTGAAAAAGAAATGAGACATCACAGTGCTAGTTGGCACTTGGTAAGAACTTTCACAGATGCTCCTGTACTAGCCATTTCCCAACTGCTCTGGAAGGCAGGGTCTGTCCACCATTTTACAGGTCCAGAAGCAGATACAGGGGAGATCAAAATGTCTCACCACAGCCAACCCCTGCTTCAGGGGTAGAACAGAATTGGTGGTAAACCGAGTTTCCTGGTTCCCAGGCCAGTATTTTCTCTCCTACTTCATCCTGAAGAGGAGGTGAAGGAAAATCAAGGGATTTCAGTGTGTCAAAGAAACATCTGCAAGCCTGATATCCTGAGACCACAGAAAGAGGCCTCAAGGAATCCAGGGGTTGGAGGAGTTGCAGAGAGATCAACCAAATTAAATCTACAGATTAATGAGGGAGACGGGGACTCTGCCATTCGGGTACCACCACTAACACCTGTGTGAAATGAGCAGGTCCCAGAAAGCTTCCTGAGCCTTTTTTCCTTGATTGTGACACAAAGTGATTGTAAAAACTGACTTGTCATGTGCCCGGCAGTCTGCAAGTCAGTAATTCCACTGATGTGGCCACTACATTTCCCTGCCTCTGTCCACCTAGCTGTGAGGACAACAGGTGGAGCTGATGTGAAGAAGATGCGTTGGCAGGAAAAGGTCACAAGTCATCCCGGGCCCTCTGCTTTCATGACAAGCATTGTGTGCTTTTTCTCTGTACCCACAACTGTTGGTGGAGGTAGGGGTGCAGAGCAGCACCAACACCAGCTCTGGTGCCACCTGTGCTGTGGGAGCCCAGGATCCAGACCCTCAGCCCCCAGCAACCGAGTCGTGCATCCCCTTGGGCTAACCCCCTCACCTGGTGGTGACCTGAGCCCGGTGATTGGCGGAGCCATCGGCTGTGTCAATCCAGGATGCCCCCCGCAGGACACGCATGTCCTGGTCTGCAGCCAGGTATGGCGATGCCGTCCACTCCCACACGTTGCCCACGAGGTCATAAAGCCCTGCAGCACAGCAGGCAGGTCAGCCCCAGGCTGGGAAGTGCCAGACCCAACCCTCCTACTCATCAAAGGCCCTGGGGAGCAAACTGGGGGCGGGGGGGGGGCGCTTTTCTCTGCCTCATCTATCAGGTAGAATGATCCCACCAATTTGTGAGCACTGACAGCAACCTGATGACAAATCTTACCGTAGTTGTTCTGTGGGGGGAAAGCATTCACTGGAGAGACGCCATGGAAGCCGTCCTCAGCTCTGTCACCCTTGGGGAACTTTCCCTGATGGGAGAAATTAAGACTAAAGGATTTAGATGGGTCCTGCCTACCCAAGGAAAACCAAGGTCAGCTTGCTGTATCATCTGGGGTAGGGGGAAGGGCCTGGGGCAGTGACCTAAGGTTCCTTTGTCCAGGTCCCAAACCAGTGGCCTCATGTCCTCCTTCATGACCTCCTGGCTGGATTAGGAAGAGTGTGTGTTTCCCCTGTGCCAACAGCACTCAAACCCACCCCACCTGATTTCTCCACTCTCAGCAACTCCGTCCCTCGGCCTTGGACCCCTCGTGCCATGGTGCCTGGGGCAGAGAGGCTTCCCCTCCTGTCCGCCGTGTCCTGCACCCCTGCCTGAGCCCTGGAGCAGCTCCTGCCTGCCTTCTCTGGAAGGACTGACGCCCACCCTGTGCTCGCTGGTCACGCCTCTTTCCCTCCACCACCAACAGACTCAGCTCCCCTCACCCACCCTGACTCCATCTCCCTACTCCTGCTCTTTACCACCAAAATTCTTGAAAAAACAACCTATATTTGCTGATGCAATTTGTTCAACCTGTTCATTTTTGTTCTTATTAAAATTAGGGTTCAGCTGCTACCACTCTAATGGGAGCTGCCCTTAAAAAAGGGAAGATGACACCAAGGTCAAGGGTCTGGATCCCTGTACTGGACAGCCACCAAAAAAAAAAAAAAAGGAAGATGAAGGGATTATAATTTACTCAACACTAGTACGTGCCAGTTCTGTTATTTACCTCTTTCTATCTAATCTTCACAAAGTTGTGGGGCAGGCACTGACTCCATTTAAAAAATTAGCAACTGAGCCTCAAAACAGTTAAGTTACCAAAGATTAAGCAGTGAATAAGTCAGATCGTCTCTCTGCAAAGCTCTGATTCCAAGCCAAGGTCATCTAAAAGTTGTCCAACCCTCAGGCCCTTTTCAATGCTCCTCTGCCTAAAATGCTGGCGCTGTGCTCTGCTCACTCTGCAGGCTCCCTGGGGGATGTCATTCTCACCAGGGTAAATGCTGATGACTCCAAACCACCTGCTTAGACCCAGAACTTCGTCCCAAGCTTCAGACTTGTATCTTCAACTTCTGACCGAGCACATAAATGACCTGAAGGCACCGCAGGCCAAGCTGATCCTAAAGTGATCAAGTTCTATCCTCTGACCCGACATGAATGGATCCTTCTGGATAGGGGCACCATCACTATGTTGCCCAAGCTTGGATTCATGCTGAATCCAACTGTCTTCCACCCCTCCACACCTGATTCATTATCAAACCCTGCCCATCTTCTCGGACATGTCTTTCCTCTTTGGCTTCCTCTCAATTCCACTTCCACATAATTCAAGAGTTGACAACACCCTGGGCCACTGCCACAGCCTCAATTTCAGAGATACCCTGCCACCACTACAGCTCTACCTCATCTGGTCCTGCACAAATGAACAACAATTAGCATCTCTCCCAAATCAAAATGATGTTGTTACTCCTGTTTAAAAACATGGAGGGTTGGGCCGGCCCGGTGGTGCACTCGGTAGAGTGCGGCGCTTGGGAGCACGGCGGCGCTCCCGCTGAGGGTTCGGATCCCATATAGAGACCGGTCCGCTCACTGGTTGAGCATGGTGTGGGCGCGACACCGAGGGTTGCGATCCCGTTGCCGGTCGCGGTGCGGGCGTGACACCGAGGGTTGCGATCCCGTTACTGGTCACAAAAAAAGACAAAAAAAAGGAAAAAAAAAACATGGAGGGTAAAACCTAAAACGTAGCTTGGCACACCTGGTCCTTCATAATCTGCTTCAACCCTCTCTCTACTTCATCTCCTACACCCCCCCAAGGCTCTGTGCTCCAGCCTCCATGAATTTGTCATGTCTCTGAGCACACAGTGTTCTTTCCCAGTATAATGCCAGGCACTTAGGCTGTTTCTTCTGCTTGGAATGCCCTTTCTTTTACTTTTCAATTGACAAACTCCTACTCCATCAGCTCAAATGTCATCTGGCTGGTTAGAGTGTGGTGCTGATAACACCAAGGTCTGGGATTTGATTCCTGTACTGGCCAGCCAAAACAAACAAACAAACAAACCCAAAACAAACAAAAAAACCCCCCACAAATAGGGCTGGCCAGTTAGCTCAGCTGGTCAGCTCAAATGTGACGTCTCTGTGAAGTCATCCCCAGCACTGTCAGGCAGAGAGTTTTCTCCAACTCTGCAAATCTTTAATACATAGCCCTCTGAATCCAAGCAAAACGCTTGGCCATGGCAGTTCTCAATCAATGCTTGGCACAAGGAGGAAAATAGGTCTTACCTGCCACAGGTTGGTGCGGTTTGGCTGAAACTGGTTCCCCCAAGGGTAAACCTGACCTGCCAGGAGAGCAAGGAGATGGCAGAGGAGGGAGAGGCGGAGCATTGGGGGAGGAAAGAGAAAGAGTGAGGGAACTACAAGGGTGTTAGGAGGGGATTTTTTTACCTCCCGGCCATGCCCTCCTTGCTGCACTGCTTCAGGAGCTCGGGGGCCTCCTGATTTGCTCCCGGGCAGCACAATTCTAAGTGCAGTTCTTGGCCAGTGCCAGTCTGTAAACTTTGTTACCAGTTCATGTCCTCATAAGTACAGAAATTGAAAGTAAGCATTGGGAAATGTGTTAATTGACTTAGGCTGCATAAACGGACAAGTAAGAAGCAATCTCATTTGTAATATTAAAAACCTTAACTACTGATGCACTGAGTATTCGTTCAGAGTGTATGTAGAGATGCTTGATGTGGGGACTGCTTTTCACTGTCACAGCTTTCTGTGTAGTTAGGATCACAGAATAACAAAGCTATGAGCCAACAGTGATGCTTTATATTAATCCTGTCCCTCTATGGAAAAGGTGTGTAGTTTTTTCCTCTTTTCCCCTATGCTATGTTGTTCTATTTATTGAAATGTAACTTACATCTGTGCAATCTCTAACAAAAAAAATTTTTGTCTGTTTTTTAATTCCATTTTTCCAGTTATTAACTTTTATGGTATTTTTCACATGTATTGAGATGGATTGGAAATGAAAACGAACTTGTCCTTCATCACAAATAGTTTAAGAAGTACCGCTCTAGAAAACACAGACCCCTCCCACCCTTTAAAGCCCCCCATGCAGGGCAGGATGAAGAAGAGAATAAAGGGAAATCGTCTTGGCATTTGTATACCCTTCAAGCCCCCTCGGGCAGCAAACTCCCACTCCTCCTCAGTGGGCAGCCGTTTCCCTCGCCAAGCACAGAAGGCACGAGCATCATTCCAGCTCACGTGTACCACTGGGAGCTCCAGTCTCTCTCGGATGCCAGAGCCAGGACCTGCAGGCTGACAGCCAGGATGAAGTGAGACAGGCTTCTGGGAGCTCATGGAAGTCTGAGGGAGGCTAGGCTCGGGGCGCCTGAGTTCAGCTTTTACCACTAGATGAAGCAAGGAAGTTGGAAGAGATAGTCTGGTGAGGGAGGCGCACCCATAGACAGAGGAGAGACCAGACGTGAGACTAACGGGAGAAATGCGATGGGCAACGGGGAGGAGGATTAGGGCAGAGGAAACAGCATTGCTTGACTATTTCCCTGAAATTCCCCTGTCATCCTTTTAAACTCAGTACTCCTGGATGGACAAGGGGTCTGGGGAAGCCTGGCTTCCAGAATAAGAGTCAGAAGGGGTAGAAAATGAGGTAGAGGAACCAACCCTTACCTGCCTCCAAAATGCCTTTTCCACTGGAAGCCACCAGAGAACAGGCTGCAAAAAAGAAGGAGCATGACTATGAGACGCTCTGACACAGCAAGGCCACTTCCTGACTGAGCCACAGGAGGCAGAACTGTCCACTGTGGCCCAGGGGACCCCACACCCCACAGGATTCTTTATCTAGGTCCTACTCCCATCCCCTCAGCTGCAAGACCAGGTTCTCTCACCTCCATTTGCCGGGTCACTTTGTTTCTTATCTCACTGGAGACAAAGTCCTCAAACACAAAGCTCCACCCAAACATCTCAGCCTCTGTCCGGTACTTTTTCTCCCTGACAAACTCCCTGAAAAGACATATTTCATCTGGTTCAGCTGATAGCGTTCCATGCCTCAACCCCACGCTCTCCTGCTCCAGGAAGCCTCCTATATCCTTGTACTGTAAGCCACAATCCAGAGTTTTCATCACCTCCAAGGAATTAACCTGAAAGCCTGAGCAGAAGATTTTATTTTAAATTAGAATTTCGTTCACATACAGTAAAATTCACTCTTTTTAGTGTAAAGTTCTGAGAATTTTGACAAAGCGTACAGTCACCACCATAACTAACATACAGAACAGTTCCATCAGCCACTGCCCCAAATTCCCCTGTGCTCCTTGTAATCACTGACCTGGTTTTTGTCCCTACAGTTTTGCCTTTCCCAGAATGTTATATAAATTGAATCAGATAGTATGTAGTCTTTTGGGTCTGGCTTCTTTTACTTAGCAAAATTATCCTGAGATTCATCTAATTTGTGTCTCGTATCAGTAGTCTGTTTCTTTTTACTGACGAGGAGTACCGTATTTCATTGTATGGATATACCATATTTTGCTTACACATTCACCAGTTTAAGGTCATGTGACCCAATTTTTTGAGATGAATAAAGCCACTGAGCAGGAGATTTAGGGTGGGGAATGGGTCTCTTTTCTGAAAGGTCTTCACCCATATCTAATCTCACAACAATCACAGGCAATACAGAGAAGAGGTGTTATTGTTAAATAACATACTGAGATTTTAGAATGTATATTCATATAGTTGGTGTGGTTTAGTAAATTTCGGCAAGCAGACTGCCAGGATAAGATGGATTGTTGACCTTGGGCCAACAGTATCCTGTCTGTTCAAGGCCTCTGATGTGAGAAGACATTGTTCACCCATCAAAGGGGCTTTGAGAATGGAGGAGGTGATCAGTAGGTTCTGTAGCAATAGTTGCTTACCAACTATAGTGCATCTCAACAGTCTGAGAATCTTTCACCAGAGAGAAAACAAATCATGACATTCTAAGCAAAGTTTAGGGACCTGTTAGAGGTGACATTATATGTCCAACATGTTATAGGACACAATTTGAAATATAAAAGAATGCCTACTTTGCATATGTCTAGCTGTTTCTAGTTTCATGATATGGTGCAAGCCTGATCAGGAGAGATTTCTCCTCCAATTTTAAAAAATTTCCTGTTTAAAAATACTTTTTAAAAGCAATGCACATTGTTTTTTTTTTTTTTAAAGATGACGGTAAGGGGATCTTAATCCCTGACTTGGTGTCAGCACCACGCTCTCCCAAGTGAGCTAACCGGCCATCCCTATATAGGGATCCAAACCTGCAGCCTTGGTGTTATCAGCACCACACTCTCCCAAGTGAGCCACGGGCCGGCCCTATTATTTACTAATTTTTCTACAGTACAATGTGCATTAGGGCTGGCCCATGGCTCACTTGGAAGAGTGTGGTGCTGACAACACCAAGGCTGCAGGTTCAGATCCCTATATAGGGATGGCTGGTTGGCTCACTTGGAGAGTGTGGTGCTGACAACACCAAGTCAAGGGTTAAGATCCCCTTACCAGTCATCTTTAAAAAAAAAAAAAGAAGAAGAAAAGGAAAAATTAGTAAATACTAATTTACCTCCTGTGATTGCACTTACTAATTAGTAAAAAAATGAGAATCATCCATTATCACACCAATTAAAAGATATATCCTTCCAGATTCTCTCCCCTCACTCCCCCTCCACCCCAATTTTTAAATAGCTTTAATAATGTGCCTTCCTCCTGGAATTATTTTCATTTTAAAGTCACAAAAACATGGGCAAAATCCATGAACTATTGCAATACTTCATCTTCCAGAATTTTTTTTTTTGCTTCATTTTTCCTTCATACAGAATATTTTATGCATACACATTGTACACGCAATTTAAAAAAAAATGAGATCATATCCTATGTATTGTTTTGTAAGCTACTTTTTTCACTTAATATGTCATAACTATTTCTTTTCAACAAGATTTTTTGTTTTGCTGGTAACACCAAGGCCAAGGGTGCAGATCTCCTTACCGGCCAGCTGCCCTCCCCACCAAAAAACAAGAAAACAAAACAAAACTACCCCCCCCACAAATTTTTTTTTTGGGGGGCAGCTGGCCAGTATAGGGATCTGAACTCTTGACCTTGGTGTTATCAGTGCCACACTCTACAAAGTGAGCTAACTGGCCAGTCCTCAACAAGATTTTTAATAGCTGCTAAGTACTCTGTTATATTGGTATAAAATGTTTGAGTGATTCTTAAATTGTTAGAAATTTGTTTACAATGTCATTTTTAGAGCTAAATGTTTTGAATGACTTTAATTCTTTCCTTAAGACAAATCCCTAGAGGTGGAATTACGGGGTCAAAGGGTCTAAGGAATATATATATACCAACAATCCTTATGCTACTTCAGTCTGCATCTCCTGAATCAATTCTCCATCACCCCCTGCAGCTTTTTATCTTGAAAATGTGTAAGTCCACAAATATAATATTCAAGCCATTTCTCCATTTACATTACTGTCTTCCCCTTCCCCATCTCTCTTTTTATGTATTTCCTCCTTGGACCATTTGAAGGCAAATTACAGATATTTTCTGGATTATTTTTCATTTTAGCCTATGGCCTTGGAAAAACTGAGGCAGCTCATCATGGCTTCTTAGATTGAGCTGGAACCACAACATTTGACTCCTAAAACAATGCCATTTCCCTCAACAAATATAAAGGGAATTTAAGGGACTCTCACCTAGTAGGACCTTTCTCCCAATCCTTTCACCCCCACAGAAGAGATTTCTGTGGAGTGTTACATCCCTTTTGTTCATATTTCCCAGTGCTATGCCCAGTGTAATGGAAATGCACTCGCTCAAGAGTCAGAGCAGATTTGAATTCCACCCAACTCTTCCACAAACTGAGAGAGTTGGTCAAACCTATTTGGACTTCAGATTTTTCACCTGAAAAATGTGGATAATACTTATCCCACAGTTCTACTGCAAAGATGGTATGTGGCAGTAATAAGCTAGCTTCCTTTTAGATATTAGGAATGAAGATTACAACGAGCCTTTACTTCTCCTATAAGAACACTTGATGTACCTGAAATCTTTGTTGGTGACAGGAAATATGTCTATGGCAAAGGGTTTTATTGTCACTTCCCGGACAGGTCCTTCACCATCTCTGCCATCTGGAGAATTTGTTCCCATCAGGAATCTCCCACCTGACAGCTGGACCATGCTAGTAGCCTGTCCATTCCCTGCAGAGATAAAGAAGTGTTATCAGTATAGTAATACACACATATATTGGATCATTTGTAATATAGTATAATAAAAACAAAGCATGGAGGCTTAAAATTTTGGCTTTAAATTCTTGTTCTGTAACACCAAAGTCACCAGACCAGCCAGCTGCAAAAAAAAAAAAAGAATTCTTGTTTTACAACTTCATTTGCTGGGAGACCTTGGGCAAATTACTTAATCTGAGATTCAATTTCTTCATCTGTAAAATGGAGATAACATCTATCTCATAGGTGGTAGCCGTATGAATTAAAAAAAATGTGTGCAATGTTGGGCATATGGTAGATTTTCACTTACTTCTTCATACCTTTGCACAACCTTTTGTCCCAGCTAGGTAAATCTAGACACTATACCTTGAAAAATATCTAGCACTTTCTATCCATATTTCTGTTCGTGCTGTTTCTCTGCCTCTTCCTCTCCACTATTATCAATTCTTAGTGATTCTCACCATTATATTATATGCTCCAGAAGAGAAGGAGGGCCAGCCCCGTGGCTCACTCGGGAGAATGTGGTGCTGGTAGCACCGAGGCCGCGGGTTCGGATCCTATATAGGGATGGCCGGTGCACTCACTGGCTGAGTGTGGTGCTGACCACACCATGCTGAGGGCTGTGATTCCCTTACCGGTCAAAAAAAAAAAAAAAGAAGAGAAGGGACTACCTCTATTTTGCCAGTGCATCCCTGACACTTTGCACAAGTGTACAATGATTATCATCAAATAACTTGATGTGTGAATGCCCCCAGAAAATCACAGAATAAAAAGGATCTTTACTTCAACCTTCTTATTTCACAGGAAAAAACCAAGATCCAAAAGTGTAAAATGACTTAAAGACCTGGTTAGCAAGAGATAGGACTCTGTTTTTGCAGCTGGCCAGGGGGATCCAAACCTTCGACAATCAGATTTCTTTACAGTGTGGTTTCCAATAGGCCACACTTCTCTGGCTGGATGTACCACTTCACGGTGTTGTCTCCAGAAAAGCACTGTAAGTTCCTCAAAGGTAGATCCCAGATTGTGATATTCCTCAGACCCTATCTTTTGGCCTTCTTCTCACTCTCACACACAGCGACTTCATCCATTCCGTTTCCTCAACAAATAAATTGCAAGAAAGAAAAAAAAAAGGGGGGAGCAAGCAGAGAAACCTCACACTAAAAAGAGAATTAAGAAACAACATACAACTGCAATGTTTGAACTTTATTTTGACCCTAATTCAACAAGCAGGGCTGGCCGGTTACCTCAGTTGGTTACAGCGCAGCTTTGTGACATCAAGGAAAAGGGTTCAGATCCCCGGTCAGCCTCCCCCCCGCTCCCCCGCCCCGCCCAATAGGCAAACTATAATTTTAAAACATATATGGGATAGGTGAATTTGGACAGGCTGAAATATTAAGGAGTACTGTCTATTTTTTAGGTGGGAAATGTTAATTTTTTCGTGACTTCTTCATTTTGGCTATCAAGCTGAATATTTACGAATAAAATTGTATAACGCCTGGCTGCACTTCAAAATGGCTCCAGAGAGGAGACAGTGGGATACCGAAGGGGCAGAGCTGGCGACAAAACTGAGACTGTTTCAGCTTGGCGACGGGCACGTGGGGAGCGCGTCACATACTACCTTTTCACTTTTTTTATGTTCGAAAGGTTCCAAAATAAGAAGCAGAAAGTAAAAAAGGAGTCAGGTACAACATGGTCTGTTACCACCTCCCCACGTCGCCGGCCGCCCCAGCGCGTCCAGGAGAGCCACGGTCTCTCTCCCGCCGCGCGGAGCGTCCCATTCCTCTCCCGGGACACGCGGCGACAGCGGGAAGCGGGAGGCCAGCACACCGACCTGGCTTGAGCCACGGGCCGCACATGAGCGACAGCAAGGACAGGAGCAGGGGCGAGACACCCATGGCGGGAGCAGGACGAGCGCAGCCCTGGACTCAAGCGCCTGCGCATTCACGCCGGCGGCTGCCCCCGCGCACGCGCCCCGAGCATCCCTGGCGGTCTCCAACCTAGACTGACGGCCAGAGACGCCCAGACGCCGAGTTCACCGCCTGCAGAGCTAGCTAGCCAGGCAATTAAGCAGGTTCTTAAAGGTTACCGAGCGCTGCTATCAGTCCAGAAGCCCCTTTAATACTATCTTAACTGATTTCATTCTCTTTAACATTCAGATTGCTTTTGTGCATCATACCACTGCAAGACCACAGAAAAGGTTTCAATTTAACATTTATTGCACACTCGCTGTAAGCAACTGCCAGTTCCTCAAAATAGTTTAGTAACACAAATTCACCTTCAAGGACTGCAGAAATATACCAACTGTGAAAAACAATCTTGTGGAAATGAACGAGAGAACAGTAATTGGAGAAAAATATGACAATAGCTTTGGGTGGTTATTTCACATAGGCAAAAAGTTTAGAGGCTTCAAAACATAGTCAGCCTCAAAATGTCGTATTTCATGAAATAACCCTAGCCCTTAGCCACTATGCCTTCAGCCATCTTTCTACCTCTGCCATCTTTTTACCTTTCTCTATTTCAATTTGTGCCACTCTGTACTTGCAGCTCTCAAGTACCTTGCTCCTAGTTCATTCCTCTTCCTACAACTTAACTTTTCTGGGGAGCAAAGATATTTCAGAAGTGTGAAGTCCAACTAATCTGGTAATCTTACAGAAATTTATACAAAGTAGAGGGATGCTTTCAAAATCTTGACTTACGTGTTATTTGTATTAGCATAAATATTTAAAACAAATGCTTAATAGGGAACTGTTGGATAATTTAAAATACATTTATAAGAAAAAATTATTAAGCCATTAAAACTGTTTTTCAAGGAATATTTTTAATAACAAGATAGATAACATATGCTTATCTAACATAATTTTATGTCACTGCACAAAAGCAAAACATCCTGTTCATTGGAATAAAAGGACCTCCTTTTTGTGTATATGCTCAGTGCAGTTTAAAAAATACTGTAATTATATTTTCAGAACTTCAGATTTTGAATAGGTGCCAGTGTTCTCTCCTGTTTTCTTAAGGGAAAAGAAAATTCCTTTGAAAATCATTTGAAGCTTGGACAAAAATTCCACAGTTGTATTCCTCAGGATCACTCTGTAGAGTCTTCAAGATTCATATGGTACAAGACAAGCTTCAAATCAACCTTTTAGAGAAGACATTCCGGCTCGCATGATCTCATCAACCAGGAGAATGTTGGTGGCAATCACAGTGCTGAAAGGGGGAAAACAAATCAGATGGTTCAGACAACATGAATCCTAATTCAACTCAATTTCCCATTTCCAATTAAACTGCACATGTTACATCCAATTAAATTTCCCCTTTCCCCTTTATGTGTAGATGGCTAATTTAGTTTCCATATTTCCAGTTGACTGCACTGTTTGGGATTGTGGTGGTGGTGGTGTGTAACTAGGCAGAATGTACCAAATAAAAGGAGTATGATGATTCCCTAAAGGTTATTTTAGTTTTGGTTTTCCCAAACTTACCAGGAGTGAAGAAGCTGTTTCTTTACACAGTAGTTATCCCATATTCCTACTTCTGCTGCTACTATTGGCTCACCTGAAAGGTAACCAAGTCTTCTTAAAATCACATATAGTAATAAGATCAGATGGACAGAGTATTGTGTGCTTCTTTGCTCATCACTAATTACTCATTTCCTTCAGTAACAACTATGAGAATCCAAAGCTGCTCTATTAGTCCAATTTTCTACTCCAAACCATAACTCCTGTCCACAATACCTTTTGATGAGTTGCTGACCTCTATCTACTTAAAAGACTATCAGTAATAGGGTACTCTTGTGTCTGTTCTGGACACATTCTTGTTTATCTGTACTAAAGTAAAGCAGTTGCACTATAATCTAGCTAAAATAGACATCATTTCCCTCATTCCAGAAACCTTTTCTGTTAATGTTGATAACAATAAGTCTTTTCAACCAGCCACCAAAAAAAAGTTACAAATATTGCACAGATGTACGTGGTATCTGTCTTCCATTTTGTACTTGTATAATTTGTGTTGTTACAGTGCTGAAGATCAGGACTATAATAGTTTCATTAGATTTATTAGTCTCTTTTCCCAGCATTTCTTGCTAACCTTTTTAGTTTTTTCACCCATTGATATGATCACTTAATGTATTTTCTTACCAAATTTAATTGATAAAACCCTCAGTGGGGTTAAAACCCCCCACTGAGCAACATCTTCAACCTGTTTTTTTGAAAGTCTTCATTTCTATTCCCTTAATTATCTAGGCATTCCACTTTTGTATACTTTATTCCAATTTAGAACTAAGAGTTCCTTGATAGCACTGGTGTCAAACTATAAAGCAACTATCCAAGATTCTTTTGCTCCAGTTTTTTTTTTTCTTTTTGTGAAGCTGGCAGGTACAAGGATGGTCCCATTTTTGATCTTCCTGGCTTTACCTCACCTAGGAATCTAGTTCTCTCCCCTACATATAGTTGCATTCTCTTACCTGTGTTCAAGTCCACACCCACAAGTTGACCTGATTCTGAATGTTCTGCTTGAATTTTAACTAATGTTTCCTGAAGGTCAAAACCAGAGTTCTGGGCAAGAACCTAAAGTAAACAAATTTAATGCTTGAAAAGAAAGGATCTAAGCATTGACGGTGAAGTCTACAATAAATGAACAGTATTTTTAATTAATTTAAAACTATACTCCCAACGAGTACAAAATAGACGATATTCATCTATTTAAAACAAAAACAAAAAGCTTGTACTCAAGTATAACCCTTATGCTTCAAATCTTAAAATAGTTATCTCTTGCCATCTGAAGCTTCAGATATTTAAGCCTCCTAAGAGGAACCAAATACATTTAGATGATCAAACTCGTTTATCCAAAATCCACATTATGAAAAAACCTACATTATCAAAATGGTTTAGCATAGTCCAGAAAATTCACTGTTAAAAGTAGCCACACCTTGGGAATAATGAGCAATGCATCAGCAAACGCTTGGACTCCCAGTTGGGCCCTCCCCTTCACATTGGGCTTATGTTTAATCAGGGCTTCTGCCATTGCCACTTCCACTGCACCAGCACCTGGAACCACACAGCCTGACAGATGGGGAAAAGAGAAATGCTAAGTGACAAAAAAAAAAACAAAAACCCAAACCTCTAGAACCAATTACAAGGAAAACACACACACACGAAAACCATTAATTTCTTACAAATTCACCATAACCACATCAATCTAAATACTGCATTTGAAAGCTACAATACAAGCAACTAAAATATCAAACAGCAGAATGGTTCTACTTAACTAGCACTTAGCAGCCCTTGCAAACTAGTAGTATTAGTTCATTTATTTGTATTCACCTTTAATAATGACATGCTATGAAAAAACTTAGCATACCATCATAGTCATTTTAAAGGGAAGACTACTTTTGCATGGTGTCTGGCTGTGTAAACTACTGATAAAAGAACACAGTATTCAGCCATGCGCCTTTTGGACCAGCAAAAATACAATTTATTAATCCCTGCACTGGCCCCCAAACAAACAAAAAACCAAAATACAATTTAAATACACTGAAATCTTACCATCATCAATAGCATTTTTGACAGCCCTCAAGCCATCTCTTATTGCGTCTTTGATTTGAGTGAGTGTGTGTTTATTTGGTCCTTTGATCAATAATGTGACAGAGCGAGGATTGTTACATTTCTCAATAAAGGTGAACTTCTCTTCTCCCTATGTGCAGAGAAGATATATTTTCAAAAACAAGATTTGTTTGTGCAAAGAATGAAAAGAAGGGAAGAGCTAATGGAAAGAATGGTAAGTAGCATATTAATAATGACCACCACTGATCACATTAAAGCAAATTTCTCTTTGAAAAATCACATATGAAAGAAATGGCTTATTGTTAGTAAACATACACCATCAAGACTTAAGTAAGCAAAGAAAAATCCGATCCCAAGTCTGAATGAAGTTTTCTACTAAAGAATTAACAGGGATGGGCAGGTGGGATACACTTACCAATGTATACTCATAGACAAGTCCTGCGTGTCCCAAACAATCAGGATTTAGGTCATCAAAAGAATTTAGAGCTACCCCACCACAAGCAAGAGTCAGCCTGAAATATTAAAGTGTTTTAAGGGAGATGTATAAGCAATGTTACCAGTTATGATTTTTAAAAAAAAGAAAAAAAATTTAAGAAGCAGTTTTTCAGAATTACATACTAAAATTATATTCTAAAATGTATTTTAACCTAAGCCTTTCCAGTCACCATTAACCAGCTGAAAAGTGGTCTTTTCATTATCTGTGGGGGATTGGTTCCAGGCCCTCTCATGAACACCAAAATCCACGAATACCCAAGTCCCTGATATAAAATGGCATAGTATTTGCACATCCTCCTATACACTTAAATCATCTCTAGATTACTCATTATAACAATACAATGTAAACAGTTGTTATACTGTATTGTTTGGGGAATAATGGCAAGAAAAAAAATCCGTACATGTTCAGTACAGACACGATTTCTTTTCCCGAATATTTTCAATCTGTGGTTAAATCCATTGATGTGGAACTGATGGATTTGGAGGGCTGACTGTACCCCTCAGATATGAAATCTAAAGGTGGTCAAAAGCTCTTTATTGTGGGTGAGCTCTCTGAGAGAAAGTATTTCTCTGAATATTCTTGATGCTGTCTCTTAACGAGAAAAAATATGTACATGGTTTAAAAATAAAACAGGTATATACTGATATTCATAGCAGCAATATACACAATAGCCAAAGGTGGAAACAACCCAAATGTCCACTGACAGATGAATGGATAAACAAAATGTAGTACATACATACAATGGATTATTATTCGGTCTTAAAATTCTGGAGATGGAGAGTGGTGATGGTTGCACAAAAATGTGAATGTAGTTAATGCCACTGAATTGTACACTTAAAAGTGGTTGGGCCGGCTCGGTGGCGCACTCGGGAGAGTGCGGTGCTTGGGAGCGCGGCGGCACTCCCGCCGAGGGTTCGGATCCCATACAGAGACCGGTCCACACACTGGTTGAGCGCGGTGCGGGCGCGACACCGAGGGTTGCAATCCCATTGCCGGTCGCGGTACGGGCGCGACACCGAGGGTTGCGATCCCGTTACCGGTCACAAAAAAAGACAAAAAGGGGGGGAAAAAAAAAGTGGTTAAAGTGGTAAGTTTTGTAGTACTGATAACACCAAGGTCCAGGGTTTGAGTCCTGTACCAACCAGCACCCCTTCCCACCCCAAAAAGCTAAATTTTGTTATTTACACTTATCACAATAAAATAGAAAAATAAAATTGGGGGAAAAACAACAATCCCAAATCATTTGCAAAATAAGTAAAATTCACGTTACTCAGATACTACTACACATACCTCTCCATATTTCTCCTTTTAGCTCTGCGCAGAGCTACTATGCCTTCCTTTGCGAGAGCATCTAAGGAAAGAGGGTCAATTCCCTATAACAAAAAAATTAGTTTCAACACCTTTCACCTTAAACATAAAAGGAATAATACAGACTTTTAACTTATATATCA